GACAGGGCGCACCTCTCCGTAGCACCCGGGGCCCAGGGGACAGGGCGCACCTCTCCGTAGCACCCGGGGCCCAGGGGACAGGGGCGCACCTCTCCGTAGCACCCACGGCCCGGCATCCAGGCTTCGACGTCAAACTTGCGGTAGGCAGGCAGGCCCAGCTCCTGGGTGGGCATGTCCAGGACCCTGCCAGGCCAGGTGATGGGGGAAGTTGAGGGGGAGGTGCCAGGCAGAAATGGAGGTGATGAAGCGCAGGGGGAAAGCAGCAAAGCGGGTAAGACCCCAATGTGCCGCCCTGGGTCGGGTGGTTCTAGAGCACAGGGACAGGGTAGGACAGCCCGGGGCTCGAGGGGAGTGGACAGCCCATTTTCTCCCAAACTCGGGCAGTGCCCATCAGTGAGGAGGAGGAGGAGGTAACAGGCAGGAGGTGAAAGGGCACGGGGCTGAGGTGACCAGCTCTTCAGGGCCATTCTTGGCTCCCTGAGAGCGCCACGCTTTGTACTGGGCGACACAGAAAAGGGCCACCTTTCTCATCTCGGTGGCTGATGGGCCATTCCCTGACAGGGAAGCTATCTCCCCTCCTCCACCCCTCCCCTGTATGGCGGGCAGCGCAGATGAAGGGAACACCCAGGGACGGGGAAGGGGCGGCAGGAGGGGTGGGCTCTGTGCCCAGCAGTGGGACACCTTTCCTTTGTGGAGCCCTGGTGGCCCGGCGGGGAGGGGTTGGACTGCCAACCACACAGGGTCCTCAGGGAGGAGGTGCTAGAAGGGGAGGACATCGTGTACCTGGCTGGCCCTTCCCCCACCCCCACCCCTCTCCTCTCCTTCCCCACCGGAAGTGCAAGCCCAGCTCCGTCAGGATCTCCATCTGAAGCGACAGGAAGTCCTCCAGCAGCTGCGTGCTCTGCTCCAGCCCCGGGCCGGTCACCCCAAACATCTCCACCTGGGCAGGGTGGCACAGGGGCACAGGGGTCAGCGGGCCCTGGGATGTTGGGGTGGCCTCTGCCCCCTCCCGGGGTGCACCAACCTTGGTGAAGTGGTGCACGCGGTACAGCCCCCGGGGGTCCTTTGCCGTGTCTGTCTCTGCACGGTAGCAGGTGCTGGAACATACCATCCTGTGGGGGGAGGGGGAGCTAGGCCGGGGAGCGGGGGAGAGAACCACGGGTGGGCCTAGGTCTTAGGGAGCTGGATGTCACCTGACTGGCAGGTCCCTGGAGGCCACAGTGTGGTCCATGAAGTAGCCTGGGAGGAGAAGGGGCGGGGTCAGCTGCTGTGGGAAGCAGGAGCTGTCCTGAGGTTGCCAAACTACGCTGGGCAGTTAGCCCAGCCCCCCAGCTGTCCTCCCATAATCCCCCCTGGTCCCGGGAAGGACGCAGGATGGGTCCCCATGGCCCCGGCACTGCTCACCTGCAAGCCCCACCTCTGCTGTCCCGGCCAGGTGGAGGTCCTCGAATCGGGAGGGGTCGATGTTATAAATCTGAGAAGGGCTAGCATTCGGGGTCATCCCACAACCTTCCTGGGGGAGGGGTCAGGGTCAGGGACTCATGGGCCCCTATAGCTCCCCTGGAAGGGCTAAATGGCTCCGGCCTTCGACAACCCCCCCAACCCACCCCCCATGCCAGGCCTGGTCTCGGGAACCCCCTCCCCCAGCAGGGGCGAGTGGGCGGGCAGCTGGGCCTCACTCACAAACACGGCTCCTCGCAGGAGGTCTGGCACCGTCATGGGGGTGAAGCCCTGTGGGGGGAGGAGGTGGGGGGAGGAGCTGAGGGCAGGATCCCCCTCAGGCCCGCAGAAAGGGCACTATGGAGCACGCTGAGGACTCCCTGTCCCTTCACATGTAACCCCTCAAAGGGAAGCGTGGCAAGCAGGGCAGGGTCCTGCATCCCTCCCGATGACATCCCCGTCTGCTGTTCCCCAAGGCTGCCCAGCCCACCCCACAGAGGGCACCGGACCGTGCCCTCCTCTGCCCACAGCTGCCATGGCTCTCCAGGGCAGCCCTCACTAGGGCCCCTGGGCCTTAAGCAATTAGCCCTGCTCCCCAAACACCCATAAATGCAGACAGGCAGTGTCATGCTGTGGGTAGGAACTTGGGTCTGGGCTGGCTGCCCACTCGCTGTGTGGCCTCGCCCTGGTCCACTCTCCTGCTACGCCCCAGTGTCCCCATCTCTACGGTGGTGACAAGGTCAGCTGCCCTGTGAGGCTGGTTTAAGAATCAGACCTGCCAGTAAGACACCCAGTACTAGAGCCAGTACCAAGACCGCCCCTCACCCCCCCAGGCTGCCTGCCCCTCTTGGCCCGCACCTGGCCCACGAGTTTGCTGAGTGTGAAGTTAACCAGGCCGTGCTGCAGGAGCGCCCCAGCCCCGCACAGGTAATAGGAGCGGTGGCCTGATACGTGGGACAGGCGCCTAGGAGAGAGACAGGCGGACAGGTGGGTGCATGGTGGGCCAGGTGGCAGGGGAGGAGGGACAGGGGACTCAACACCCAGGGGTGGAGGCCCAGCTGCAAGGCAGGGCCGGGGCATCAAATATTCATGACAGGGTGCGGTTCTGTGGCTGCACACCCCACGCAGAGCCTGAGGCAGGAGCTGGGTGCCAGCTGTCGGGGCAAGGAGGGCGGGAGAGGGGCTCACTTCTGCCGGATGACGCCCAGTTTCTCGCCGATTTCCAGGTGACCTCGCGGGTGGAAGGAGAAAGCTGGAGGTGGACAAGGAGCGAGGGGCATGCGCTGTGTAATTCCCACCGGAAAACACACATGGCGACGCTGAAAAGAATCAGCCGAGAGGCATGGGGGCCCAGGGGGCAGTGGAAGATGGGATTCGGGATCCAAAAGGAGGAGGAAGCCAGAGAGGGAATGTGAAGAAAACACAGACAAGGAACCAGAGAGAGGAGGGCAGGGTAAGGGGGAGGGGGAAACAGAAAGGCAGAGACAGAGACAGAGATGGATACGGTGGAAATTGGGTCAAACACAGGCTCCCAGCCCCGCCCATGTGCACGCTCACCGCCAACACCCATGCACACACATTTGTGTGCACACGTGTGCACGTGCCCCCAGAAGAGAAGGGCAGGAAAGCCAAATGGAGAGAGAGGGAGAGACAGAGGGGGAGGTGGAACAAAGGCCCAGGGCTGCTCCTCAGGGGCAGCAAGGCCAGCGGGCAGGAGACTGCAGGCCCCCCCACCAGTAGGGGTCACTGGGCATGTCAGCCTCCCACCCCTGGGCGGTGGCCCACCTGGTTTGTCTCCAACGACGTGGAGCACTCGGGCCTGGCTTTCATCCCCAACTGGCTGGAGGGAGAGAGCGGGCGTCACAGGGAAGGTGGCACCAGGTGGCTGGCCTCCCTCGTGCCCGCTTCACACTCACCACGTCGGGGTGGGTCTGGTTAGGCAGCCTGAGCGCCCGCAGGTAGAACTGCTCCTTGAGCTGGGCCTCCTTGGGATACAAGGGGGTCAGCTGCTTCCGGATCTCCCGGCCCCGGCCCCGCAGAGCCTGATACTGGGGGTCCTGGAGGCAGGACAAGCGGGGTCAGTCGGGGGAGGTGGGGCAGGGGTGGAGGCAGGTGGAAGCGCCGGGGCAAACACTGATGGCCTCTGTGGTTGTAGCCCTGGTGGCGTTGTGGTTACATTGGGCTGCAGGGTTCTCTGCTCCCTTAAAGAGCTGCAGTCTTGGAAAGGCACATGGCCGTCCTACCCTGTCCTATAGAGTCTCCCATGAGTCGGCATCAATTGGATGGATGGCGGGTCCTTTGGTTACGGGTCCTTTGGTTAGGGTTTCTTGGTCCAGTGACCCGCCCCCTGCATTTCCTCTCTCCACCACATGGGGGCATGGCCACAGGGGTCAGCTCCAGAGACAGACAAGCCTGGGGAGACTCAGCCCCCAGGGGCTCTGACTGGAGCCATCAGGGAAGTGGTCATCTTTGAGCCTGGTCTCCCTACCCCAAGCTGTGCTGTCACCCCGGACCCCGAAGGGGAGACAGCAGGTCTAGGAATGAGAGGAAAATAGAACCAGGCATGGAGATGGGAGCCTCGATCCAGCTGTGCCGGACGCCAGTCCTCAGTTCATGAATTCATGACGGCTTTTATTTTCCTTAACCCGTTGTTTGTCACACGAAGGAATCGTGACTGGGAAGGCTTCCTCCCTGCCTGCCCCTGCTCCGGGGACAGGGCCCCGCCTACCCCAACCCGGCCCATGTACCTGCTGCACCTGCCCCTTGTCTTGGTTTTCCTAGCAGAAGGGAGGCCGAGGTGGTGGGTGATGCGGTGGATGAAGCAGAGCGGGGAGGAGAGAAAAGGAGGGGTCAAAGGTCAAACAGGTCAGGCGGGGCAGAATCCCCAGCTCTGCCAGTGAGTCTGGCTGGGCCCCTCCTCCTCCTCTGTGACTCAGGTCCCCTATGGGCAACGGGTGGGCAATCATCTTACAACCCCCCTCGTGAAGTTGGCGGCACTGTCACCCCTGTTTTGCAGAGGAAGAAACAGACTCAGAGACCAGGTCAAGGATCTGGGCTGGGGGCCCTGGCGAGAGCCTCGGACCAGTCTACCCCAGGGCCACATGCCAACAACCACACTGTTCTCAGCCTGTCTCCCAGGACCCCTGTGCTCACCAGCAGGCCACGCACAGCTTCGGCCACGGCCCCCTTCTCCTCCTCCAGGCTCCGGATCTGCTCCTGCAGCTTCCTCAGCTCCTGCCACGCTGAAATCTGGGGGTGGAAATTCCAGAGGAGATGGTGAAGCAGCTGCTGCCCCTTCTTGCTGGAACCTGGCCTCACTGACCACCAGGACCTGTGGTGGGGTGGGCCAGAAGCCCCTCCCTGTCTTCCCTCCCCCCCCTTCTCCTGTTCCTTCAGGGGGCTGGTCAGAACTCCCTGAGGTTTAGCTGGGCATCTAGAATTAAGTTGAATTTCCTGTTTCCCTGCAGCCACTTAGGGAGCTCTGGTGGTGTGCTGGTTACGTGTTAGGCCGCTGACCTCAAGGTCAGCGGTTTGAAACCCTCCAGGCTGCTCTGCAGGAAAAAGAGGCGGCGTTCTGCTCCCTTAAAGAGAGACCCCCGGGAGCAGCTCCACCCTGTTCTTTAAGGTCCCTGGGTGTTGGAAAGGCTCCATGGTGGTCCCTCTGTTTTCGTTTTATAGCCACTTGCACCCATCACCCAGGGTGGCAGTGGAAGTGCGCTGCACTTCCTTGGGGTTACTGTGGAAGCTAATCTTGCACTTGCAAAACCAGTGGGAGAAGGAGGTGGGAAGAGACTCTTGCACCACCAACTCCTGGTTCTTTGGGGACACTGACTCCCCGTGAGCTTCGATGTCTTGGAAAATTCCTTCGCCCTCTCTGACTCTTGGAAAATTCCTTCGCCCTCTGCACACTGTCCTGTCTCCCTGGGCGGGCCACACATAGATTGCTTTGCTGCCCACTTGACGGCTCATCCTAAATGTCCTCTGGATGCTTGGCACTCACCCAAACCTGCTCTTCTCTGCAAGGACAGCCCTCCTGGGCTCCTGACCCCCCTAGTCCAGAGTCCTGGGCCTCAATCGTGGACGACTCCCTCCACCCCTCTCATCATCCTGTCCTGTCCTTACTGTCTCCCTCTCCACCATCCTCCTGATCCTGACGCATCCCAAGCCTGTCATCTCCGAAAGCAGTGGATCTCACCTGTGGGTCGGCCACCCCTTTGTTGGGGAGGTCGAATGACCCTTTCACAGGGGTCGTCTAAGACCATTGGAAAACACATATTTCCGATGGTCTTAGGAACCGAGACACCGCTCCTCTATCCGTCTCCAGGCAGGTCCGGCCACATGCAGAAACACCCACATACAAGTACCCAGAGTGAAGACTTACCCATGCTACACCATGCTTCAAGACAAACTTTCATTGATTTGTCATTAGAAATAAATATTTCACAATATAGAATGACATTATTTTTGTGATTAACCACTATGCTTTACTTATGTTCAATTTGTAACAATGAAAATGAAACCTGCATATCATATATTTACACTATGATTCATAACAGTAGCAAAATTAGTTATAGAGTAACAATGAAAATAATTTTATGGATATCAGGGGCTCAACTCGGAAGAGAATGCTTTGAAAATGATGACGATGGCTTATGTGCAAATGTGCTCGACACATTGGATGAATGCATCGATTGTGACGAGATATGAGACCCCAAGAAAAGCATTAAAAAAATTCAAATGAAAAAAATTTATGGTTGGGGTCACCACATGAGGAACTGTATGAAAGGGTTGCAGCATTAGGAAGGTGGAGAACCACTGTCCTATAGGAACCCTGCCCCAGTCTCTTACCCAATCCAATCCAGACAGAGTTCTCATACATTTCTCTTCCACTTAAAGGCATTCATGCCTCCCGGTGTGCACAGAGCACATGTCCAACTACGGCCTGCAAAGCCACCTGCCACTCTCGTCATACTGTGGACTCTAAAGAAGTGGTTTTTAAGCTCAGGGATTCCCAAAATTCCAAACCCCTGCCATCAACTCGATTCATATGACCCTACAGGGCAGACTAGAACTCCTCCGCAGGGTTTCTGAGACTCAATCTTTTTCCTGTGGAGCACATAGTGGGCTTGAACTACTGAACTTGCAATTAGCAGCCCAATGTTTATCCCACAGAGCCACCAGGTTCCTTGGGGATGTACTGGTAGTAGGCTAACTGAATTTGGCATCTTTAAACCAGCATTTTAAAATGAAATAGAATACAAGTTTCAAAATAGGACTGTATCATCACCCATGGGAAGTCCAGGAATTGTTAACAAAACTTCCCTTTCAAGTTTGAGTGGGTGCGTACTAGGCCCAGATGTGAAATAGATTTCTTCCCCGTGGCCATGAAAACCCCCAGGGGTTTTCTTAAGAGGTGTGAGACTCTAAATTAAGCACACCGTACAACCGTCAGAGTACAACTGTGCCCCACGGCTTTGTCAAGGGCTGGTTCTCATAAGCAGACTACCAGGCCTTTCTTCAAAGGCACCTCTGAGAGGGCTCACACCTTCCACCTTCAGTGTGCAGCTGGGTTCCTGAAGCAGTTGCATCTTCCAGAAATTCCCGACATTCCCTGCAGCTCCATCAAGTGCAACAGCAGACTGTCCTTCCTCCGGGCATCTGGATACACTGGCCTTCTACCTGGGCCACTCTAGTCCCCAACTAACCCCCACACACCCCACCCATCCTTGCCCAATGCCACCTCCTCTAGAAGCCTGCTTGGGTAGCTCCCCACTTTTCCTTCACAGCCTTTGGCAGAGCTTATGATCATACATTTAGAACAGCACGTGACATATCTCTCTTCCATGAAGCGAACTTGGCTAGCACAGCAAAGAGTTCAGAGTGTGGACTTTGGAGCCAGACACAGGGGTTTCAAATTTCCTGCTCTGCCAGTTGTGTGGCGTTGGTACGTTAATGAACTTCCCTGAGCCTTAATTTCCCCTCTGGGGAAAAAAAAATGGGGAAAATAAGGGCACTTACCTCACAGGGCTGTCCCCCAAATGAAATGAGGCTCATCTGTATAAAGGAGCCCTGGTGGTGCAGTGGGTTAGGCACTAGGCTGCCAACTGCAGGTTTGGTGGTTCAAACCCACCAGTCACTCCATGAGAAAAAATAAGGCTGGCTGCTCATGTAAAGCTGCACAGTCTCAGAGACTCCTGTAAGTGGGAATCAACTCGGTGGCAGTTGGTCTTTCAGTTTGGAGTTTCAGGATAGATACAGTATGTAGAAAATGATAGCAGGGCAGTCCTAAAGAGGGCTGGAAGGACTTGGGACCCAGCCTCTTCAGCACCCCAGGAGGGTTTACTCTACAATGATGTGGAAATTTCTGGTACAGGACCCCAGTGTGAGCTATTCTACTTGTATAATTGCTAGCTGTTTCATTGCCAACATTCATTATCTTATTTGAAACGCCTGGAACCTTCTCACCGCCACCGAGTTGATACTGACTCATCACGACCTTGGAGGACTGGGTAGAAATGCCCCTGTGAGTTTCCCCGACCTTAACTGGTTACTGGAGCAGAAAGCCCGTCTTTCTCCTGAGATGCAGCTAGTGTGTCGAACTGCCAACCTTGTGGGTTGCAGTCCAACGTTACCACCACACCACGTTGGTGTCCCGTAAATGTCTCCCGATAGAAGCACGCATTTATTTATCTATTTAGCGACCTGCCACCTATGGGGAGGGTGCAAAGCTCTAACTTTCACTCCCCTGGGGCGAGCCTCCCCTGAACCTCAGATTCACCCGACCCTCGCGCTTCCTTTTCTGGCTCCCGGGTAAGTCTGGTCGCCTTCAGATTTGGCGCGCCGTGTCCACGAGCCTATTACGAACGTCCAAGACACGGGAGGCATCTTTGGCACAAACACTGAGAAAGAACTAAAACTCCCGCCTTCAATCAGCCCCCAGAGGGGGAAGCAACAAGCAGTCACGTGCCAGTCGCAAAGCCCAGCCGCTAAGCAAGGCGCGCAGGCCGCCCGCGCAAGCGCACTCACGATGGCGGGCAGGTCGTCGGGTCGCAGCTCCCCCTTGCGGAACTCCAGCGCGCGCGCGGCCGCCTCCGGGCATGCGCAGAGCCGCTCCATGTCCAGTTGAGGGAGCGCGCTGTAGCCCTCGCGCGCGTGCTCATACAGGAGGTTCCGGTCCTGCTTCTCCGTCGCGAAATTTCTTTTTTGGTTCTCGGAGCAGGCGCAGCCTGTTCTGGACCAGAGTCCCCGACCAGCCAGCCAAGGCCATAAGCGCCGCGCAATGGACGCAGCCATCTTGGGAGAGGGGCAAAGAGACCCTCCCCCTTGGTTCCGCCCACTACGTCTGGCGACCAATTGCCAAGCAGCTCTGCGGCCCGAGACGAGCCAATCGGACCGTGAAAGGGACGGGCCCTTCCTCAGAGAAAGGGCGGGATGTTGTGCCGTAAAGCAGTTCAATGGGGCTCGATGACCGAGATTGACTCTAGATTTGACCAATCGGCGCTCGAGCCCGCCCCCTCGCGGCAGAACCAGCCAATCCCCGCCGGTATCACCTCCGGAAGTGGCTGGAGACACGATTCGGAGTGTCTGCGGACCTCAGTAGGGTCGGTGGGGTCGGCGTCCCTACCTCTCTGGGGCTCTCTGGTGTTCCCTCTCCCCTGGGTGGGAGCGGTTGGATCCCCAGGCCCAACTCCGAGTGAGGCTAACTTTACAGAAAACTTCCTGCCAGCAGCGTGCGGGGTTGTGGTGAGCTCCTGAGAGGGACTTCTTAGATTTAACTAGAGAACGCGATTCGAGGAAATTGGACCCCTAGCTTCACGAGGTCCGCTGTTTGCGCCCCTTTTAAAACCTCTTGTCTCCTAACACAGGGCGGCAGGATGTCGTGGTCCGGCCTCCTGAGTGGTCTGCACAGGTCCCTGAGCTGCGGTAAGTGGAGCCCCGGAGGGTTTCGCATTGTGGGGGTTATGAAGCAGTTACCCCGAGGGCCCGTGGGGAGCCTAGCGAGTCCCAGGTGGTCGGCAAAGTCACTCATCGCATCAGCAAATAATTGTGTATTCAGTACCTTCCGAGGGTCAAAGGCGCCACAGGCCCTACTGTCTGATTTCTCTAGAGCCCAGTATGTGTCACAAGGTGTCGCAGTGGTTAAGGCGCTGGACACCTACCCACAAGATCCGCAGTTCGAACCCACCAGCTGCTCCACGGGAGAAAGACGAAGCTCTCTCCGCTCAGAAAGAGTTAGTCTCAGAATCCCCTAGGGGCAATTCTACCCAGTCCTAGAGGGTCGCCATGAGTTGGAATTCAGTCGATGGCAGTGGGTTTGGTTTCTTGCAGTGCCCTCTGGTGGGTAAGCAGTGGACTGCTAACTATGAAGTTCTGTCACTTCACAGAAGAAAGAGGCTGTCTGCCCCCATCAAGTCTAAAGTCTCAGGAACCAGGGTCCAGTTCTACCCTTCCCTAGAGGGGAGCTAAGAGTGGGGACTGACCAAAGGGCCAGGAGCTCTGGTAATATAGTGGATTGCAAGATGGGCATGCTAATGAAAGGTCAGCAGTTCGAATCTACCAACTGCTCTGTAGGAGGAAGATGGGGCTTTCTACCCCATAGAAACACAAAGGGACAGTTCTCTCCCTTATAGGGCTGCTCTGACGCCCTATACATAAGTGCGCTGGCACAGTAACGCCCTCCTATCCTATCCCCAGGCCTGGCGCTGGCTCCCCGCCTCTGGGCCACCCGCTCCATGGCCACCCTGAACCAGATGCACCGCAAGGGACCCCCGAAGCAGCCGCCCCGCAGCTTGGGCCCGACAGGGGGCCGGCCACAGCTGAAGGGTGTAGTCCTGCGCACCTTCACGCGCAAGCCCAAGAAGCCCAACTCTGCCAACCGCAAGTGCTGCCGGGTGCGGCTCAGCAATGGCCAGGAGGCCGTCTGCTTCATCCCCGGGGAGGGCCACAGCCTGCAGGAGCACCATGTCGTCCTGGTGCAGGGCGGCCGCACCCAGGACCTGCCGGGCGTCAAGCTCACTGTGGTGCGCGGCAAATACGACTGTGGCCACGTGCAGAAGAAGAAGTGACTGCGGTGCCGAACCCCTACTAGACACGAGCCTTCCGCCCTGGGCTCCAGCATCCAAGCCTGGATTATATAGTGCAGCTCCATCAGGACCACTGGCATCCTATGGGGTGGTGGGCAGGAGTGAGAAAGGCCACCAGGCTTCTGCCCAGACCTCCAGGAGCTGCCAAGGGTAGTGTGGGTGTGGGGCTGGGAGGGGCTGTAATAAACCCAGATCACCCCACCGTGATAGGAATGCTGCCCGCTAGCAGTGTTGGTAGCTTGGTATAGACCAGTGGTTCTCAACCTTCCTCATGCTGTGACCCTTTCATATAGTGCCTCATGTTGTGGTGACCCCCAACCATAAAATTATTTTCGTTGCTACTTCATAACTGTGATTTTGCTACTGTTATGAATCATAAATATCTGTATACAGGATGTATTTTCATTGTTACAAATTGAACATAAAGCATAGTGATTGATCACAAAACAATATGTAATTATATATTGTGAAATATTTATGTGTTTTCCGATGGTCTTAGGCGACCCCTGTGAAAGAGTCCTTCAACCCCCAAAGGGGTCGTGACCCACAGTTTGAGAACCACTGGTATAGACCCCCACCCTCAGTTTCCTTTCCCATGATATTCCCCTTGTTCTGGAAATTTCCGGAAGGTTACATGAGATGACCCCTGTGTGGAACACGCCAAGAGAGTCACTTTTCAGCTCTGGCATCCATTAGGCTCTAGGGTCCCCCTAGTCTTACACCTCCCCCTCCTTCCTAGTCTGAACTGTGGTGTGATTGTGATACTGCCACCATTCCCTGACTGTCAGACTCAGGCTGACCTAGGTTCAAATCCTGTGCCACCCCTCTATTGTTGGGTGACAGAAGAGTGTGTCTGGTGACCCTTCTAGGTCTGCCTCCCCACCGCCCTCGTCCAAAGTGGCACTTGGAGTGAGACTGGCTTCAGGGGCGATGTGAGGATTGAGGTGAGCACCCACCAGCCCTGGTGCATATGGAAGCTGTGCTCACCTTCTGGTCTCTGTTGCCCCCCGAGGAGTGGCCCGTGACCCCAAGCAGCCCATTCAAACTCCCAGCCGGCTTCCTCCAGGACTAAATGGCATTGGTCAGTGACCTGGCTGGGGCCTGAGAACAGGCATGGCACATCCCTCTCAGGGTCTCCCAGCAGCCCCAGGCCCCACACAGCTCGTGTGACTGAAAGCACCTGACAGGGTCTGAGTTGGGGCAGTCAAGTGCAGAGATTCCAGAACATTCACCTCACATTCAGCACCAGTTTTACTGAGTCTGTTGGCTGTGTCTAGCTGAGGAGGTTGGGGTGGGGGGTGGGGGCGGGGGCGGGAGCTTTTCTTCAGAGCAGACCTGCCCTGGCTGTCCAGGCAGAGAAAAGAGAGGCTCCTTGCCTGGTAGGAGGTAAAGGCAGGAGACCTGTCTCTGAGGAATTCATGCAAGACATGCCACCCTGACCCACAGGGGCTTGGAGGTGGGGTGGTCCCGCCAGGTGTTACAGCCATGGCTGCTTATTGGCTCCTGTGTCCTCCCCACAACCAGCGAACCCGCAATCACGGATTCTCACGTGTGAGGTTCAGTAGCCAGCCGGCAGCCCCTGCCTTGTTCCTGGGTGCCTCCCATGGGCGAGCCACGGAAGCCACGAACAGCCTGGTGGCAGTTTGTCACAGCATGTGGGCCACTCCTGGAGGAGGTGCCAGACGGAACCCCCCACTGTCCCTGGCTGCCGAGTCCTGGACTGAGGATGGTGTTGGGCAGCCGCAGTCTGTGCGGGAGCCCCTGCAGGCCAGCCGCTAGGACACACGGAGGCGAACCTGCACACTGGAGTGGGTCACCAGGGCGCCGTAGTGGCCCACCCAGGAGCGAGTGTCTCTTCCGTACTGCTCGAAGGACACGTAGCGGATGCCCTTGCCAAAGTTGGTGAAGATGTGGGAGACCTGGGGTGGGGGTGGAGAAAAGAGGGTGAGGGCTTGTGGGTGCCCGCCTGCCACCACTGCACAAGTAGTCCTCGGGCTGAGTAGGCCTGGCAGCAGATGGGCTGCCCGAGTGGAGCTGCCACCCGAGTAGGGTGCAAAGGCCCCGGGAAGGGGGGATTGGTGGTGGGGGTAGGGCCCCTGCGTTTTCACTCGGAGACCCTCCCTGTCATAGGAGAGTTGTGATTGGGCTATGTTTTCATGGGGTCTTTCTGGATGCTGGGGGTTGGGGGGGAGAGGGAGGGGGCAGGAAGATCATCTCAGAGGTGACGTCCCTGGGCTTGAAGGGCTTTCAGGCATCACTTAACTGCCTTGCGCCTGAGTTTCCTCAGCTTCAGAGGTAAGGCCGGGGACTCAGAGCCATTGCTGCAGCCCCGGCACACAGTAGGTCTTCATAAATGACTGTCCCACAACCCAGCTGTTGGGCTGAGGAAATAAATGATATCATGCTCTGGGTTAGGCCAGGGTCTGGAGGGCTCCGTGACAGCCCTTGTGCACAGGGCTGCACGGCCCCACGGGGTTTGGGGAGCTGACTGCCAGGCCTTTCTGCATACGGGCTGCTGGGAGGGTTGGAACCAGCAGCGCTTTCAGCTGGTCGTCAAGCCCTTGCACGTCTCGGGCTGGCCAGGATGTCCAAGGCCGGCCGGCTCTTATTTTCATACAGGACCCGGCCCCGAGGAGAGCTGAGAACGGACGTTACTAAGAAGCGGGGTCAGGGGTGATCGGGAGGACACACCTGCCGGCAGCCCCTCTCGGTCCACTGGAAGACAGGGTCCGGGGAGGCGGAGAACTTGACCACTTCGTTCTCACACACATCCAGGAGGCGGACCCGGAGCCGGTAGATGCAGCTGCAGTTCTCACGGGCACCCCACCTGCCAGGTGGAGGTGAGCCAGGAGGTTCTGGAGGGGGCGGAGGCCTGGCCTCCCTGCACCCTGATGAGGGTCCCACCCATGGGCCTGGCTTGGGGCCCTCTGGGGACAGCTGCCTGGCCATCCCTCCTGCTAACCCCCCTACAAGAGCCTGGGGGAGGGGCTGGGGGCTCGGAAAAGGAGATGGCTTGTCATAAGTCCCCCGTCTCAAAGCCAGCGGGCACCCCTGGCCCAACTCTGCCCATCTGAGCCTTGGTGCTCGGCACAGCACTCCCAGGGCCTCTAGAGACTTCTCAGGCACCCGCAGTCCTGAGGGGCTGTCCTGAGCGAGTTAGAGGCCCTCTGGTCAACAACCCCAGCTCCCTCTGAGGTGCCTAGCCTAAGAAAGCCGGCCTTGCCACTTGGTCTCAGAACAGGGCACAGTGACAGCAACTGCCCATGGAGGGGGCACGCATCCACGCTGGGGGTCAGGCTGCCACTCACCAGTCGGCCACACAGATCTCGATCTGGGCGCTGTCCAGGAGCTCCTGCCACACGCCCTCCATCACCAGGTCCACAACCTGCCTCTTGAAGCACCACCTGGGAAGGGACAAGGCAGGGCTCACTCAGACCACAGCCCTATCTGGACTCAGACCACCGTCCTATCTGGACTCAGACCACCGTCCCTATCTGGACTCAGACCACAGCCCTATCTGGACTCAGACCACCGTCCCTATCTGGACTCAGACCACAGCCCTATCTGGACTCAGACCACAGCCCTATCTGGACTCAGACCACCGTCCCTATCTGGACTCAGACCACAGTCCCCCTAACCCCCAGGGTCGACTCAACGACGCAGAAAGCCGCATGGTTCAAGGCGACCTCTTGCCACCCTGCTCTCCTCGCCTGGAGGTCGAGCTGTAGGCAACCCCCCACCCCACCCCACACACACCCCTGTTGTGGGGACCTGGGAAGGAGTATAGGCGCCCTGATGGCATTGTGGTTACAAGTTGGGTTGCTAACCACAAGGTCAGCAGTTTGAAACCACCATCTGCTCTATGGGAGAAAGATGAGGCTTTCTACTCCAGCAAAGGTTCACAAGTCTCGGAAACCCACAGGGTGGCTGGGAGTCAGACTGGACTCAATGGCCCTGAGTTTGGTTTTGGGGGGAGGAGGACAAATGGAAGCCCACACAAGAGAGGTCTGAGTAGGGACGTGGGGCAGGGGACCTTGCCAAGGGCACAGGGTAGCCTGGGTGGGCACTCAGTTCAGAAGAGTGCCGCTACTAGATGGGAGGTGGGCTGTTTGAAGTGCGCCTGGCACCCCTGGAAGCCCTGGGTTGAACTTGGCTGGAAGGCAGTTGGTCTGGATTCGGACTGGCTCGTTCTTTTGCATTTGGGCTTTCTAAAGTGCTGGGCCCAAGCCCTCAGGTCCACGGCCTGGAAGGACCCTTGCCCTCAGCTTCCTGTTGGGCCAGCAGAAAGCAGCTACAGCAGGAGGTGGGAGAGGGAGGGAGGAGACTTAAAACCAAGGCATTTGTCTTGCTACCCACTCCCACCTTCGTCAGCTGTGTTGTCCGGAGAGACCAGGCCCTGGAGAAGGACATGTGTGAGAAAGCAGAGGGGCAGCGAAGGAGAGAGGGTCCTCAGGGAGATGGTGGACAGAGTGGCTGCGATCATGGGCTCCGGCACAGGCGCAGTGGTGAGGATGGCGCAGGACCGGGCGGTGTGTCCTGTTTACAGGGTCGCTGTGGGTGGGAACCACCTCCATGGCTCTGAGCAAAAGGCTTAGTGCTCGGTCTTCCCAACATTTCAGGAGCTGCTGCCCCGCCACCTGAGCCTCCACACTGAGGAGTGGGGATGTCCCTCCCTGCAGGCCCGACTAGCTCAGAGCCCTGCATTCTATCCCTGGAGCTCTGCCCACCTTTGTAATCAACAGTCCCTTTCTCCGGGTTTTGGGGTGTTGGTGGCGGAACTGATAGTGGGGTTGGAGAGAGCTCAGGCAGAGCCCTGGGTTGGCCTGTGAGTGAGTGACATCACTAGCAGTGGGGACAGGTGGAGCCCTTCCCCAGGGCGTGGAGCTCAGTAGGTGGAGGAGGGAAAACCAAAGCCCCTTCCTGGCACCTGACACGAAAGATAGAAACAGGTTACTAGGAAGAGAATATAAAACAATATTTGATCTCAAAGGTGGGGAAGGCCTTTTTTTTTCCAACACAATCTCAAATCGTAAATTCTAAAGCAAAAATACCCCCACTCACTCACTGCCATCCGATTCACAGCGAAGGCACTATAGGACAGGTTAGAATTGCCCCAGTGGGTTTCCAAAACTGTAAATCTTTACAGAAGTCGAAAGACTCATATTTTCTGGCAGAGCAGCCAGTGGTTTTGAACTGCTGACCTTGCGGGCACCAGCCCAATGTGTAATCCACTAGGCCACCAGGGTTCAATAGAGGAAAAACAAACGGTGAACTTGATCACAATAGCATCAAAGATAACTGCCCAACAAAGAGTGCCGAAGGCTGGGTGGGAGATTTCGGCACGAAGAAATTCAATCCAAATGAAAAACATCAATCCCAAGATCAAAGATTGAACAGGTTCTTTACAGAAGGGAATTCGGGGCTAACAAGACCTGAAGAAATGCTTAATGGTTAGGACTCAAAAACACCCTGCCATTGAGTTGCTTCTGACTCATAAGCACCCTACAGGACAGGGTGGAACTGCTCCTGTGTGTTTCTGAGGCTGTAAATCTTTATGGGTGCGGAGAGCCACCTCTTTCTCCCAAGGAGTGGCTGGTGGGTTTGAACTGCTGACTTTGTAGTTAGCAGCCCAATACCGCATTTAAAATGTACTGCTATCGAGTCAGTTTTGATTCTTAGGGACCCTATAGGACAGGGGAGAACTGCTCCTGGGGATTTCTGAGACTAACTCCACGGGAGTAGAAAGTCCTATCTTTCTCCCGAGAAGAGACTGGTGGTTTCAAACTACTGACCTTGTGGTTGGCAGCCCATTATGTAAACCACTAGGCCACTGGGGCTCCTTTAAATTGTTAGAAAATTTTATACAAATTAATTAAAACAGCAATGAGATAGTACTTCATCCCCAATACACTGGCAGCCACGAGAAAGCGGGAGGCCACATTTCAATACTTAAACCTGTGTGTGTGTTGGGGTGGGGGTGGGTCAAGGAGGCAAGGAGAATGGGTATGGGGCATAAGAGGGCTTCAAAAGGTTCATGGGATTGTGATAAGAGTGGTACGAGCCCCCAATAAAATGATTAAACAAATGAATTTTTTTTTAAAAGTTCATGGAAAAATTCCACTATCAAAAAAAGAAAAGAAAAATTCCACTCTCTTTGAATTCCGTTCTTCCCCCACAAACTTTTTGAAGCCTCCACATAATGAGGATAAAAGGACCCATCAATCAACTTGGTTTTGTGTCTTCATAGCACTGATCACAATTAGAAACCCCGGGGACAGCGCAGGGGTGCTGTCAGGTGCCCCTGCGGCGTTTCCAGCCGCTGTCCCAACACCGCCTGCTCTTCCACTCCCCACAGGGTGGCAGCCACTGTGCCAGTCCGTCTGGTGAGCGCCTTCCTCTTTTTCACGGCCATTCCACTTGACCAAGCACGGTGCCCTTTACCTGGGACGGGTCTCTCCTGATAACATCCCCAAAGTCCGTGAGACCAAGTCTTGCCATCCTTGCTTCTAAGGACCATTCTGGCTGTGCGGATTCCCAAACATGTGCTTGCTCTTTGGGCAGTCCGTGTTCTTGTCCAGATTGCCCCTCCAGCACCACCGCTGAGACGCACCAGCGCGTCTCTGCTCTTCCGTGTTCACTGCCCCGCTTCCCCCACGACTGGGAGGTCATTGAACACCATGGCGTGGGGCAGGTGCACCTTGGTCTTCAAACTAACATCCTTGCTCTTCAATACGGTGTTAGTTCGGGTTGACTAGAGAAACAAATTCATAGATACTCATCTGTGTATAAGAAAGAACTTTATAGACAGATCAAGCCCGTAAGTCCAATATGAGCTCATAAGTCCGATACCAATCTATAAAGTCCCCTTCAGCCTCACCAAACACATGCAATAATGCCAAATGCAGGAAGATCACAGGCCAGTGGGTGGAAGGGAAGTGTTGTGGATCCAATAGCATTGTAAGCATGTCAGTGCTGGCAGGGGTCTCCATGTGGCTCCTCCAGCTCAGGGCACTGGCTTCCATCAGCCTGTCTCCATGTGGCTTGTTGAGGATATCTTACAGGGACTGAGCAGAGAGAGAGTGTGTGTCTCTACCTCCAAGGAGGAATTATAAGAGTTCCCAGAATCTTCAGGAGAAGGCCACACCCACACCCACAGTGGGGCCTCCAAGAGGCCCCATTGGAAATACAATGATTGACAGGCTGGACTCCACCCCCTCACTCTTAATCCTCAAATGGACACCAGATTATGTAACTACCACAAATAGTTTAAAGAAATCTTGAGCAGCACGTTGACCCACTGCCGTGTGTCATTTGATTTCCTGTCTGCTGCTTCCATGAGTACTGATTGTGGATTCAAGCAAGAGGAGATCTTCGATGTTCGGGAAAGAGCGGGGAAGCTGGAAAACACCCTACAAGGAAGGGAGTCGTCAAGAAGAGTTCGGTTGATAAACTGCCGTAAAACTGGTCCTTATCCGAGGACCCTGCGGTTCGGGCTCTCTCTTACCAAGCACGTGTAATGGAGAAAGGAATGACCCAGACACCTTCCTCATCCATGTCCTGCTGCGGGACTGGTGGGATGGTCTTCAGCAACATTGTAGTGGTGTGCGCTGTCAGCGACACAGTTCTAGTCTGAGCCTTCTGTTGGACCACCTTTCCTTGGGATGAGCACAGATAAGCATCTCTTTCAGTCAGTTGGCCCAGTGGCTGTCTTCCAAATTTCCTGGCATAGACGAGGGAGTGCTTCCAGCACTGCTCCAGCTTGCTGAAACATTTCAATGGGCGGAGCTTTGTTTTTGGCTCCTGCGTTCAGTGCAGCTTGAACTTCCTTCAGCACCACTGGTTCCTGCTCATCTGTTGCCTCCTAAAAGAGTGGAAGGCCGACTAGTTGTTTATTTTCTTTAAATCATTTTACTGGGGGCTCATACAGCTCATCACCATCCATCCATCCATCCATGGTATCAAGCACATTTGTACATATGTTGCCATCATCATTTTCAAAACATTTTCTTTCTACTTGAGCCCTTGGTATCAGCTCCTCGTTTTTTGGTCGACCAGTTCTTCTGTGTCGTACAGTGAGTGTGAGCTCTCTCCCTCGGGTTTGCTGAAGCTGAGGGGCAGCAAACAAGGGGAAGGCCCTGGACGAGATGGACTGGCACAGTGGTGGCCGCAATGGGCTCCGGCATGGGAACAGTGGCGAGGAGGGTGCAGAACCGGGCCGTGTTTCCTTCTGCTGGGCAAAGGGTCGCTATGGGTCGGAGCCGACTCAACGACACCCAACAACAGAAACCTCGCTGCTCTTTGTAATAGTAAAAATCACACCCACCACCCGCTCCATGACAGTTTATCTTTACATAGGAGATTGCCAAGACAATTCCCCCGGGACCAAATAAGGGAAAGGGAGGGCTGGACCCCAAACAGATCGAGAGTCCTCCCCATCTGCCCCCCAAAACAATCAGGAAGATTCCTCCCCTTCGTTATCATACATTTGCAAAAACAGAACCAATGTCTTTGCATGGTACCACCCTGGGTGGTCCACTCATTGGGGACTGGCCTGTTCGTCCTTCGGAATGTCTTTTCACTTTGAAATAAATGCTTGGCTGAGTGAGACACAGCGCCCCTGTGATACTTTTCTCTCACCGTTGGGCCACTAACTCTCCAATCCTTGTGTTTTCGGAGAGAAGTGGAGCTAGAGGCCAGGGACGTCCAGGGACGTCTGCATCAACAACTTCAGTCTCTTTTCAGTTTATCAGGATGCTGCCTATTTGGTCATTTGGAGAATTTTGGTTTTCTGTCGGTTGAGCTGTAATGTATAGTGAAGGCCGCAGTCCTTGATCTATAGTTAGGGCTCAGAATAAGGTCCTGCAGACAAAGCCCTATCACGGTTTGTTGTGTTGCTAGTGTTATTTTGCTGCGTGCATGCGCAGTGACCCCTCTAAACGCTATGTCTACAGGGAGATGCAAGCAGCAGGCTCTGATCTTGCTGATTCCCGGCGCCCGCCCCTTTCCCCCATGTGTGGCATATGAAACAGTGCCTGGTACCCGGCCGGCCCGTGACATGCTTGTTGAATGAATGGACGTGAAGGGCAATTAAGGGTGAGGGTCAGGACGGTGGGGTAAGCTGCATCCTCCCTCCTCAGAGCCATTTACCCAGCCATCAGGGGATACTCACTCGAAAGAAGTCACGAAGCAGGTCTGCGACGGGGCCCCTGGCACCAGAATTACGTTCTTTTCCACCGCCCAGCCATTTCCGCCGTGCTCCACTTCCCAGCCTCTGAAGCCCCCTGTGCGTTACAACAGGGTTGGGCAGGGTCTCTCCTACCCTCTCGTCCAGCAGTCTGCTCTGCACCCAGCTTGGCTCGCCTACTCTGCCTCCTCCGCTCCTCAGCGGCCTGCAGTTCGGGTCCCACCTGCAGACTGCATCACTCAGCCCCGCCCATCGACTCCGCTTCTCTCGGCCTCCCTGCAGCCCCGCGACTTCTCCCCTGGCCCCGCCCACGCCCACCCCGACTCGGCCCGCCCGCGGCCACGCCCACCCTGGCTGGTCTTGGCCCCGCCCCCATCACCCACTCTCGCCGCAGGAGTTGAATATGAGGTTGCGGCCCAGCGGCGCGCGCAGGCAGTAGCGCGCCAGGGCGCAGAGCGGCACCGTCTCGGCGTCGTCGGCTGGCGGACAGCGCTGGGCCACGGCGTAGAGCGCGCGGCCCTGGGCGCTGCGGTCGCGGGCCAGTTGCAGCAGCCACACGGTGGGCCCGTCCACCACGTTGCGCCAGGCGCGGCACACGGGGCGGCAGCGCGTCACTAATGCATGCGGTGGTACATGGCTCAGCACCTGCACCAGCAGCTCGGGGGGCAGCGCGCCCAGGTCCATGGGCTCATCCGCGGGCTGCAGCCGCCTGGAGGTCCGGGCGCCCATTGTCCTGCAAGAGGAGCGGGATCGGTAGATTAGAGTAGGTAGTCGCCTGCTTTATAGGGCGCAAGGCCACTCCAGCTTGTCCCCACCAGGCCCGTGGGTCACCTGGAGTCCCCTGCCGCTGAGAATACCACGCACGGATCTCCTGCCGCCTGGCTCTATGGGAAAAAGAACGGTCAGCTCATCTTAACTGCCTATGTCCTGCCCAGGGACAAAAGACCCCTACAGTTGATAGCATGTTTGTGCCATCCTTCCGTTAATGTGCCAATTCATCTCACCGCGACCACAAGGGCCCTCTCCTTAATCAAACATCCATCCTCCGCTCTAGCAACCCATCCCTGCGAATGTGTCCAAAGCAAGAGAGACTGTAAGGTTCTTCCTGGTTTATTCCCAAGTCTTCTTAGTCGGTAAGCTCTGCTGAAATCTGTCCCGCAATCACACCTTGCCAGAGTGTGATATACCAGAAGTATAACGTCCAACATCACAGCAACACACAAGGTACCGCAGTCCCGGGATTACTAACAAGCTCTTGTCCTCTCACCATACTTATTCAATCTGTAGGCTGCGCAAATCATCAGAGAAGCTGGTTTATTGTACAAAGAAGAATGTGGCATCCGGATTGGAGGAAGGCTGATCTGTGATCTGCAGGTGACCTAACCTTGCTTGCTGCAAGTGAGCAGGACTTGAAGTAGTTGCTGATGAAGACCCAGGATCGCAACCTTCAGTATGGATTACAACGCAGTGTCAAGAAGACCCAAATCCTCACCACTGGGCTAATAGGCAACATCATAATAAATGGAAAAAATGGTGACGTCAAGGATTTTGTGTCGCTTGGATCCACAATCAGTGCTCATGGAAGCAGCAGTCATGAGATCAAAGGGCATTGCCTCCAGCAAATCTGTTGTATGGGACCGCTTTATAGAGTACTGAAAAGCAAGGATGTTATTTTGAGGACTAAAGGTCATCTGACTCACGCTATGGTATTTTTAATTGCATGAGAAAGGTGGTGATTGCATAAGGATGACCGAAGAAGAATCAATGCATTTGAAGTGTGATGCTGGAGAAGAATATTGAAAGTACCTTGGACTGCTAAAGGCACAAACCAATCCGTTTGGAAGAAATACAGCCACAGTGCTCCTTAAAGGCAAGGATGCGGAGACTTTGGCTCTCATACTTTGGACATGATGTCAGGAGAGACCAGTCCCCGGAGAAGGACGTTATGTTTGGTAACAGAGAGGGGCAGGGAAGGAGGGGGAAGGCCCAGCATAGGAACAATTCAGTGTGACCCAGGACAGGGTTTCATTCTGTTGTGCATAAGGTCACTATGGGTCAGAACTGACCTGATGGCACCCTAACAACAACAAGAAGTGGTGGAGTGGAATACACATGGAGCTGCTAACCCCAAGGCCAGCAGTTCAAAACCACCAGCCCCTCAGAGGGAGAAAGAAGAGACTTTGATTCTTGTAAAGAGTTCTAGGCTTGTCAACCCTCAGGGGCAGCTCCGCCCCGTCCTCTCGGGCAGGAATGAATCAGAGTGGACTTGCTGGCAGTACTTTGTGTCTGCTTTGTTTTCCTTTTGGTATAACCACGTAAGGATCGCCACCATCAAGGCACAAAACATATCTATCACCGCTGCCAATGAGTGCCACGCTCCCAGCCAACCACTGAGACGCTTTATGTACCTATAGACTAATAAAGGTATACATTTTTCTAGAATTTCATATAAACAGAACCGGCTATAGTGTGCCGGTTGTCAATTTGTTGCCGCACAGCAGCAAGCTGCAGAATCGGAGCGATGCTGGGCTTTTTCAGCAGAGGGTGGCCGAGAGACACTGCGGGAGGGAGACACTTGTTCCTTCCCGGCTCCGGCGCGCCCCTCGCGGCAGGCTCGCGCGGTGCAGACGCCCCTGCGGCGTGCGCGGTTTCCGGGGACCCCACCCGGCTCGGGCGGCTCCCTAGGCTTTTCCAACACGCGGAGCCTGCAGCGTCTGGCACTTAGCGCCGCATCCAGCGCCCCCCTCCGACCCCCTCCGCGGTAGTGTCCTAGCAGAGTGCCCCATCAAGGCACCTCCCCAAGAACTGCTTTCTCGGACATCCTCTGGGGTGAATTTTTGGTACATTCCCAAAGGGTGGATTTCCAGCAAGTTCCGCTGGCGCAGCGCCGCAAGGGACTGCTTTTGCCCGGAGGTGAGCCCCAGCTATGGTTTCCCCGTCACCGCCTGGACCTCAGCCTGGGACTGCCATCTTTCCTGGGGCTCATGTCAGACCTCGTGCTCGGTCGCGGCTGCCCCCTCGCTCGCACTCACTGCCATCAAGTGGATGCCCACTCATAGCGACCCCTGCCCCCGACACCCCCGCCCCCGCAACAGTTTCATCGACACATCATTCACATATCACACAATTGAACAGGTCGATCGTTCAATCACATCAAGGGGCGTTGTACAGCACCACCACATTGATCTTAGCGCCCCACCCTCGTGGTCACGTGGCCTTCCAGCTCAGCTGGTGCAACAATCACTATCAGCTCTAGTGGTCCCGCCCCCTCCGCCCCCTGTAACTCTCCCGGCTGTTTCTCAGAGCTGCTGCTTCTATTTCCGTATTCTTATCGGCCGCCTCACTGCCTCGCCAACTCCCCGTGACTCCAGCCCCCCTGTGACAGTTAATAAGGCCTTCTGTTCAATGTTTCCTTTTCAGTTATCTACTTCCTGTGTGGGTTCAGCCTGCTGATGGGGCCATGCTGGATACATGCCTATCAGTCATCCTCAAGGCTAGCTCTTTCCAGCAGCTGCATGTCTCAACCAGTCCTCAGGACCCCAGTCCAGCCCCCCTGCCCCCCACACTGCCGGGGAGCAGATGCCACCTCATCGTGACCCTATAGAACTGTTCAGGAGGGTTCTTCCAGACTGTCTCTAGAGGTGCAGACAGCCTCATCTTCCTCCCAGGGAGCATCCGGCAGGCTTGAACTTGGGGTTAGGAGCCCAGCACTTAACCTGCTGCACCACTAAGGATCCTTGTAACAATCAGTTACCCATCCTGGCTCTTGCTGAGCAACAACTGCGTTGAAGACGTCAACGACAATCCTGCAATCCGTTTACCCCTCATAGTGATGGGCAGTGGAGGGTGCATCCAGACACCTCAGAAGAAAGGCCCGGCAATCTACTTCCCCAAAAATTAAAAACAAAAAATTTAGTGCACCACTGAAAACCCTAGAAGGATTGCCAAGACCCTTGCCCGGAGATACCCTTTTCTCTTGGGACTGAAACCACTCACGGAGGTGTCCGGCAGCTCAGTCACAAAGCCAAACCAAACCACACTCACTGCCCTCAGTCAATTCTGACCCAGCGACCCTATAGGACCCCATAGACCTGCCCCTGTGAGTTTCCGAAACACACTCTCTACAGGAGTAGAAAGCCCTGTCTTTCTCCCTCGGAGCTGCTGGTGGTTTCAAACCGCCGACCTTGAAGATTGCAGCCCATTGTGTAACTGCTGTGCAACTCCTCAGCTTAATAACAGCTTGCTTATAAAATGAAACAATATGGAGAAGGCTGTGGGTACTTTCCGCAGTATGGTTGTTCAATCATTCATCTACCTAATACATATTTACTGAGTCCCCCCTTCCTGGCCAAAAAAAAAAAAAGAATATCACCCAAGAGGAATGTGGCCCCTTAAACGAGCAACCATGGGGGATCAAGCAGTCCACATACACACAGGGAAAGCGACAAATGGACCAGGAGGGGCGGGCCGCTAGAGAGCAAACAGTAGAAACACAAGTCTGTTGAAAGTCAAAAGGAAGAGTTTCGTTATAGGCAAAGATATTGGCAAAAAGGTGAAACGCCTGTCACGCAGGGGTTTCTGGTCAACTCGCAGGTTGATAAAGACAAGAACTGTGCTTCAAGGCAGCACACGTGGAGCCTGGAGAAGGGGCCCGCCTAACCACAGAGGCAGGTGGCAGGTTCTTGGTGGGACCCCTTCTGCAGGGAGAAAGATGTGGCTGACTGCTTCTGGAAAGAATGACAATCTCTGTAGGGTGACTATGAGTCGGACGGAGTCCCCTTGATGGCGCTGGGTTTGGTGTTGGGTCTATGTTAGATGATCTCGGAGCTTTAGCCCAGAGACCTCAAGTTCACATGTCCACAGGAGGCAGCAGAGTGTGAATTAAAGCTGAGCGGGTGGAGGTAGGGGCCCTGGTTAGCCTAGTGAGTTATGCATTGGGCTGCTAACCACAAGGTCAGCAGTTGGGTTCCACTAGCCACTCAGAGGGAGAAAGATGAGACAGTCCACTGCCGTCGAGATGTATAGCCTCGGAGCCCCCCAGGGGCGGTTGTCCTCTGGCCTGGGGGGTTGCTGTGAGTGAGCCCACTCAGTGGTCTGGGTGGACTTGAACCTGAAGTCGTGCAACCTGGCAAACTACAGTGCCGTCTGAGGGTCCGTGCTATTGTCATGCCAAGTGGGGCGGTGGGCACCTCCTCCAGTCTTCAGGAGGCCAGAAATCCCAGTTTTTATGGAAACCCACCCCGTTTTTAAATGTTGACCGAAAAAGAAAAAAATTTTTTTAAGGTTTCGTGTAAGACAAGGCCTCCCTGCAAATGTAATAATGAATTGAGGGATAGCCTCTTTGTAGCTGCTCTGCGATCCCCATTGATCTTGAGGCCCAGCGAGGTGGCGTGCTCCTCCAAGGTCACACAGCAGTCAGGCGTGGGGCCAGGACTGGAATTTAGACGCTCTGACCTCGCCCCTCATTGCTCATTCGATGCAACAAAGGGACCAGGCGGGAGATACCACCCCTAATAAAATCATGTCCATCTATTTCTGAAGGACCCCAAGCTAATGGAGCTGTCGGAGATAGGTCAGAACTTAAGGCGGAGGCCCATCAGACAGAGTGAAACTACTCCATATGGTGTCCGGGGCTGTCCATTTTCATGGAAACAGACTGCCTGCTTTCTCTCCCAGGGAGCGCTGGTGAGTTTAAACCATCGACTTTTCAATCAGCAGCCCAAAGCTGCGTAG